GTTTATTATCAAACTCCTCTCACTAGAATGTTTGCTCCATGAGAAGAGGGATTTTTTTTTTCAATGTTTTATTGTGAGTTATGTGATAGTTTATATGGGAGAACATTAGTTTTATATTCATCCTATTATATATTGTTTCATTGCCATGGTTACAATCCCCTCCATGCATCATCAACTAACCTGCAAGCCTGCCCCCGGTCATCAGCACACAGCCCCTCTCCATCTCTGGGTCTAAAGTCCCCAGCTGCTCCATCTCTCCACATCATCGTCTCTGCCTTGATCTCTGGCATCACTGCTTCTCTGGGTATGGTCCCGCTCGCCACTCTTCTCTCTTGATGGTCCCAGGGGCCTCCACTCCTAGACTGAAAAGTTAATTACTCCCCTCCTTGCTACAAAATGTCTACCTTTACATTTCCAACCCTCACAATCAGTCCTGATAACAATTATTCACTATTGTATCACAAGAGACCTATCTGCATTTCCTTTCATCAGCCCCGCCTAGACAGATTGGATATTACTCAGTGGAGATTCTACCTTCCTCCACACCCTCTGGATCTAGGTTCCCTCTTGAAAGCTTGTAAGCCAGTCACTTCTTGCCTTTTTTGCCCCCCCCCCCCCACACACACACACTTTGGGTAGCCAATGTCCAAGTTGCCCATCCCTGTCTACTCTGTGTATGGAGGGGGTGGGAATGATCCTTGCTGTAAAGATTTGTTCCCTCTTTTGAGCTACTGCATCCATAGGTGTAGGTCAAGTTCATCAAATTGTATCAGATTACTCTTGTTTTCCTCTTCTTTCTTCTTCTGGTTGAGCTCTGATCATCCATTCATTGAAGCCTGGTCACGTGGGTATTATCTGCAAGTGTGGGTGTTCTTGTGCATATGCCCTCTCTTATCAGATGGATGTTCTACTCTCCACTCTAGTCTTCCACTCTAGTCCTCTGTGGCTATGTCACTGACTCTGGGCCCAAAAGTCCCCAGGTCTTGCCACACTGTTGGCCAACCAGGTCTCTACCCGGGTTTGCTCTGGTAGCGTAGTGGTTACGAATCGGGCTGCGAACCGGAATGTCAGCAGTTCGAAACTACCAGCTGCTCCGCGGGAGAAAGATGAGGCGATCTGCTCCCGTAAAGATTTACAGCCTCGGAAACCCTATTCAGGGTCGCTATGAGTTGGAACTGACTCCATGGTACATAACAACATTGAACATTGTAGGGCTTAGCTCGCAGCTTCATTGCTGTTTTTCTCTTACTTCCCCTTATCGGTGATGAACGTGGTCACCAATCAGCGTGTGTATTCCCACTGAGTCTTAGTCTTGGAAGGGGGTTTGCTCTTAGGGGACCTGACCACTTCCCTTGATGCCTCCTGGGCAAGTAACTTGCTTGTTCTTGTAGTAATTAGTCGGTCTCTCTATATTGTTTTGTATCTTTCTTGTTGCTCTTTCTTTCAAGAAGTATCTTCTGTTCTTCTAGCTGCTCCAGGCTGGTCTGCCTGTCCTTTCAAGTGGAAATTTCCCACCTCTGAAGATTCTGGATGCTGTACAGGATTCCACCTATAGTCTTATGTAATGCAGAGGCTCCGCAGGAAGCCTCCTTCATTGGGCACATTGTAGCCCCATTTTAGGTATTCCAATCAGTTATAGGCAGAAGATAGACTTATGAGCTTTCTATGGTGATATTTCTGGCTATTTCTTTCTCTCCTCCTCCAGTGTCTACTTTATAATGGTATGCCGGGGAATCCAAGATTCAAAAGACAGTCAAGCAGCTTAACATTATTTCCCCCCTTGAGAAGAGGGATTTTTGTTTTCTTCACTGCTGTATCCCCAGCTTATAGAACATTCCTGGAACAAAACAGACAATACATATATTCTGATTAAGTCAAACTGGAAAAGATCAAAAGTTAGACTGCAACATGTATTGGTGAGGAGGTTGTTATTAAGTGCTGTCGAGTCAGTTCAGAATCATAGTGACCCTGTATAGTGTTTTTGAGGAACATTTGGTGAGCTTGAACTGGTGAGCTTGAACTGCTAACCTTGCGGTTCAAATCAAACTTGAGGTCGAGTGCTTATCCTATGGTGCCAAATCAGGACTCCTTCATAGGCTGGTTGTTGTTGTTGTTTAGTACAGTCAAGTCAGTTCTGACCCACAGAGACCCTGTATAGGGTTTCCGAGGAGTGCCTGGTGAGCCTGAACCGCCAACTTTGAGCTCAAACTGAACTTGCAGTCCAGCACATTAACCCACAGTGCCACACCAGGACTCATAGGTTATAGGTCCTTGTTGTTGTGTGCCGCTGAGTCAGTTCCAACCCATAGTGATCCTGTGTTGGGTTTCTGAGGAGTGGCTGGTGGGCTTGAACCACTGATTTTTCAGTTCAAACTGACCTTGCAGTCTAGCTCATTATCCTGTGGTGCCTGTGAAATGCAAAATGTAAATTGGGATTATCTCTTTGGAGAGCAACTGTCAGCTGCTAACTTCATGGTTGGCAGTTCAAACCCACCCAGTAACTCTACAAAAGATAGGCTGGTGAACTGCTTCCATAAAGATTGCTGTTATTGTTGTGAAGTGCTGTCGAGTCCGTTCCGACCCATAGCAACCCTATATAGGGTGTCCGAAGAGCAGCTGGTGAGCTTGAACCGCTGACCTTGCAGTTCAAATGGCTTTTCAGTCTGGTGCATTAACCCACAATGCCACATCTCATAAAGATTACAGCTATGTAAAGACTCTGTGGACAGTTCTACTCTGTAACACAAGGGGTTGCTGTGAGTTTGGGGCTGACCTGCTGGCAGCTACCAATCACAACAATACAAAATGTAACGGCATTTTACATATGGCCCATCACTTACATTTTCAAACATGCCTCCAATAGATAGATTTGGTGATGTGTCTAAGTACAGAGACTGACGGGGATGTTTCAGTATCAAGAGGCTGAAAGTAATTTAAATGTTCCTTAGTAGTGGAGTTGTCTAAAAGGAGCCCCAGCAGTGTAGTGGGTTATGAGTTGGGCTGGTAACCACAGGTTAGCAGTTAGAATCTACTAGTCACTGTGTGGGAGAAAGATGAGACTTTCTGGTCTTGTCAAGATTTACAGCCTTGGAAACCCTATACAGGGTTGCTATGAGTTGGAACTGACCCCATGACACACAAGGCGCTCATAGCGTAGTGGTTATGAGTTGGGCTGCTAACCTCAAAGTCAGCAGCTTGAAACTACCAGCTATTTTGTGAAGAAAGATGAGGCTTTCTATTCTAATAAAGATGTACAGTCTTGGAAACCCTATGCAGGGCACTATGAGTTGGAACAGACTCCACGGCACACCACCACCACCAAGGAGCTCTGATAGGGTAGTGGATTACGAATTGGGCTGCTAACTACAAGGTCAGGTCAGCAGTTAGAATCTCCCAGCCTCTCTGAGGGAGAGGTTTTCTGCTCCCATCAAGATTTACAATCGGAGAAGCCCTATAAAGGGTTGTTATGAGTCGGAACCCACTCCAAGGGAAAAACCACCACTAACACCAGTAAAGGTTTGGTTAAATAATCTCCACTCATAAGCATGCACCACTGACTAGGCAAATATGGCTAACCAGCTGAGGTGAAAGGCCTCAGCTTCTAATGCAAACCTTGGGCATTCAAGTCCACAGATGTGCATTGGAAGAAAGGCCTGGGAGCTCCTTATGAAAAAGCAGTCATTGAGAATCTTCTGGAACAGTTTCACTCTGACGCACAGGGTCACCAAGAGTCTAAAATCCCATGTAACTCCACAGGAAATATAACTGGCCGCTAGAACAGAGGATGGTATACACGTGCTAAGTAAAAGGAGCTCTGGTAGCGTAGTGGTTACGAATTGGGCTGCTAACCTCAGGGTCAGCAGTTCGAAACTACCAGCTGTTCCGTGGGAGAAAGATGAGGCTTTCTGCTCCTGTAAAGATTTACAGCGTCGGAAACCCTGTACAGGGTCGCTATGAGTCAGAACCGACTCCACGGCACATAACAACAACAAGTAAAATAAGGCAATTTGTTTTTAAAGTTTGTGAGAAAAATTCATTATCTTTTGTTTATCCACGAATTTTTTGAAGTCCCCGGGTACCTCTGGTAAATCACAAGAAACTAATAATGGTTGACTTTTTGAGGGCTTTATTCAAAGACTTTGTTATTGTTGTGAAGTGTCCTGGAGTCAGTTTCGACTCATGGAGACTCTGTATAGTTTCTGAGGGCGACTGGTGAGGTTGAACTGCTGACCTTATCGTTCAAACCGACCTTTCAGTCCAGTGCTTACCCTATTGCTCCACACCAGGACTCCATTTAAGGACTAGGAGGATTGAAAAAAAAAAGTGTTTTTTTTGTTTTTAAACTTTATAAATATATTACTTAAAAAAAAAACACCAAACCAACCCACTATACTAAATCAATCCATACTCTGGTTAATTTTTGTATTCAGTAGGACAGAAAAATACAATCCAAACTCTGCTTTGAAGTTTTGGAGAGTGGGGGGGAGGGAAGAGGACTTTTAGTTCCTGGGGAAGGAAGCCAATAAAATGTATGAATAGATTCAGTCCAACCTCGTGCTCTGTGACTCCAGGGCTTTCCCCATCTCCGCCTCTGCTTCCTAGCCATGCCCGGCCAGTCTGAGCTCACGGATTTCACCCTCAGCCTGGAGTCCCTGCTTCCTCCTTAGAGGGCAGCAGCGGAGCGTCCCGGAAACGCATGCGCCCCAATTTGCGCCCGGGGAATTAAAAAGAGAGAGCAAAAACTCCAACAAAACAAACGCCCCAAACAAAACCTAAGTGCCAAAAGGCGCGCAGCCCTGCAGACCCCGGGCCTGGAGGCGCCTCCACCCTCTTCCAGTCCCCTACCGCGACGTGATGCGCAGGGGCCGGCCCACGACGCCTGGGTCGAGACTGTTCCGGTACTTGGACGCTAACCCGGTGCCAGTGCTGGAGCTACGATCGTTCGCCGCGGCGACTTTTTCCGAGTATCCCTTTTGCAGCAACGGGGGACCTCGCTCTCCATGGGTCTGAGGAACTGGCTGAGGACCGTGTGCTGCTGCTGCCCGTGTTGTAAGTGTCTGGAGGAGCCCGCCCTGCCCGAGAAGGAGCCCTTGGTCAGGTGAGTGCGCAGGCCGGGATCCTGGGTTACCTGTCTGCAGCCTGGAGGTGCGGTGTGGGGATACCTGTGTGCATCTTCCAGTTGGGGTGGTGATTTAAGGCCACACTTAAGCGCAAATCAGGCCCCCCTGAGTTCTTTACAGGACACCCTGTTCTTTGAGTTTATTTCTCTTCTTTGAATAATATTTTTGCCCCAAAGCAGAAGTCCTCGGAGGCATCTGAGACTCAACTGTCTGCTTGTGAAAAGTACTAAGAATTTGGGTGTATTATTTGGGCGAGGAAGGTACCGGGGAGAATTTCCTATAGGGCTTTGATTAAATCCAACTGTGATTATATACTTGCTAGGTATAGTTCTGTGAAAATATAAATATTCACTGTGAATTTTTATTTCCCTCTGCAAAGACAGTGGATACTTTGCTATTTAGTATATTGCCAAAAGAAGAAAAGTTAAGTGACTGAGCACAAGATAACATTTTTCACATTATATATATATGTGTATATATATATATATATTATCAAGAGACTGTCTTTTCTTTAGGATGTTGTTGAATCATCATTACAGGTTAAACTGGGGTCTGAGGAAATTTAATACTCATTAGCCGTGACTTTATGATAAGCTCTCAGGAAGCACAGTTTGATTTAGGGCTGTGATTTTATGCAATTATTTTATATGTTGATGTTGCTGGAATTAGGATTTCACTAGGTCATACCTTGAAAGTAGATATGGTGTAACAGAGTAATTATAATGAAATTTATTGGTGTTGTTGTTAAGTGCCTTCAGTAGGTTCCGAATCATAGTGACCCTGTATAGAGTTTCTGAGGAGTAGCTTGTGGGTTTGAACTGCCAACCTTGTAGTTCGATATCCAGTGCTGATCCTATAGTGTCACATCAGGAGTTGTTAAGTGCCGTCAAGTCAGTTCAGACTCATAGCCACCCTGTATAGGGTTTCCGAGGATCAGCTGGTTGGTTTGAACAGTTGACCTTGTGTTTCTCAGTCCAGTGCCGAGTCTATAGTGCCATACCAGAAGTCCTCACAACCAGTATGTAAGGCTGAATGAACTCCAGGGGTGTGTAAGCAAATTATTCAAGCTTTTTTTTTTTTTTTTTTTTCCGAAGAGTACAACAACAATACAAAGCTTAAAAGAACGGGAGAGCGTTTCTGATTATATCAAGTCCTAACACTTGACTTTTGAGATCTTACATAAGTCCTCCCTGCCTGTCTAGTCTTATTTTCTAGTACATTAGATAATGGTCACTCCTTGATTTAATCACACAGGTACCCGGTCTGCTCTGAAAACAATCCACTCGTCTTATTCCCTTCTTCCCTTCCAGTTTGTCTTGTGTGTTGCTCTGAATCCTTCCCAAATGCTATTCTTCCAGGCCCTCCCCCCCCC